TTTAAGCGTATGAAGACAAGTCACTACTCTGCAGATTTCCATCCTATCATTTCCAACAGTGTATTTCTCACTTTCACTTATTGGCTTTTCTGTGCTAATGCCATTTACTGTTACAGAGGAGCATGACAAAAATGGTTATTGGATGGGCCTGTTTTAGTTTTACACCCATGTTGAATCAGGCTTTTCCTCCCAGACTTCCTTTTAGTTCTTAGCATTGTCTCCTCCAGTCTCCGAACTTTTAATGTGACTTTATTCAGTGTTATCCAACAATATTTCCAAGTCAGGTTGTCAGCTTTCTGATTGGTTTGAGTTCTGGAGTTTTTTTAAGCATACATGTTTCATTCTCAAAGTCTTCATGGCCCAAATCTAACGTAGTGTTGAGAATGGGAAGCCGGGGACGTGTTGTTCTGTGGGAGTTCGGCAGATGTTCTTGCATTGGTGGGAAGGAAGCCGTGGGACCAGTAAGACAATGTCCTTATACGGTAATATGTGTGTTGTGAGATGTAGCAAAGCAGTGTGAGATGTGGCAGAGCAGTGTGAAACGTGGCAGAGCAGTTAGTAATGACTAATTAGCCCAGGCGCGTGAACACTTGTATGTAGCCAATTGTACTGCTCACAAGGGCGCATGGACATTCACCCACAACCTATCTGTGCAGAGAGCACGGCACATGATCAGAAGATGGAAACTACATATGCTGCAAAAACAAAACGTTAAAGGTCTTCACTTGACCATTAGGCAGAGTCCGTGCCCTTCGCCGCAATGTAGCAGGAAGAACACTCAGAACAAACAGGTTCTTTTTATTTTCTTCATCTTTCCAGAGCAGATGAAGAAACAGGACAGAGGTTTTTCAGTTCAAGCAGCAGCCATTAAAACAAAACCCATCAAAATTATCCTCTTCAAATTATCTCATTAGCACAGCCCTGGCACTTGTTAAGGCATGCCATGAGTGACCACCTCCAGCAGCTCTGTGGCCTGCTGATTCCTCCTGCCCTGAGGCTGCAGCCCAGCCTGGAGACCCAGGTGTCTCCATCTGCAGGTTCATGGACACAGCTGCTGCTGCTTTCCTGTTTGCAGGTTCAACCAGTAGCAAGGCTGAACGTGCATCCCAGAGACACACACAGGACATTGGCACAGCCCACCACAGACAAGATGATGCCTTTAACAGCACCTACATGCGTGACACATAAAATAGAAGTATAGACAGACAAGTCCCTTTCTTCTTCTTTGGCTGGTCAGGATTGAAACCCACAAATCCCCACAGCCTACAGTCACAAGCACACACACATTCATGGATCCCTCAAGTACCAGGACAGCCCCACTGTCCATCCAATACCCCTGCATGGATCCCAGGACCTCTTAAGACACTTTGAAGGATCTCCTACTTGCCAGCTGGTCCGGCTTTATCTCACTAGCAAAGAGATGCACACACTTGTTTCATAAACACTTCCCACTCACAGATCCCCTCAAATACCATCGTGGACCATCTGCTCATCCAATACCTTTTTCTGGATCCGGGACACCTAGTCTACCTTGAAGTCTGCCAGCAAATTATACAGGCAAACCTCACACACCCAGTTTGGGGAAGATATGCCCCATGCACTCTCACCACTGGCCAGCATCAGACAGATGGACTAAGACCCACAGTTCTGCTCCAGCCACCAGTGCTGAGCCCCTCATTCACCCCACTTGCCCTGGTGAGGCTCCCACTCACTCCAATTGCTGGCACTGAGGGCCAGGGTTACCTGGACCCATGGTCTGACTCCAGTTGCTGGCATCAAACCCACTCACGTCCATTCCCCCAGTAAGTAGCTGACACTCCAGACAAAGCCTGTGGGACCTGTGGAGATGCTCCCATGAGCTATGGTCCTTCCAATTACTGATGCCAAGGCACTCTCTCCAGTTGCTGGCACCATTGCCCAGAGGTGCCTACACAAGTGGTTTGACTCCACTTGCTGGCCCAGTTATCAACTCACACTGGTCTCCTCAGTACTTGGCACAGTTTTCGCAGAACTCACACACAGGGGATAAAGAGTGAGATGATGCAGATAGATAGGAAAGGACTTCAGAAGACAGGGCTTGCTGCAGGGATCAGACAGAGGGCTCAATCAGACAGACCTCCTGACAGCCATGGTTTACACATCACTGACCCCTTCTATACCCTCTTCTGCCTGCTCCCCTTCTGCATAGTTCCACCATCCTCTTCCTCCCACTCACACCTGGGACTGATTAGGTTTGTACTCTAATCCGTTTAAAAGTCTAGGTTTGCCTGCAGTTTCTCAACAGCCCATCAGTTACTGCAACTGACCGAGGTTTGTTTCGTCTGTCTCCTTCACATTTGCATGTCAGGTTTATCTCTAAGTTTTCTTTATGGCTTCCCTCTTTCCCCTGTAATCCCATTTGGCAAGGTCCTTGATGAGATATTCTTGCTGAAACAAACACTCTCACATCCCACGCCCTCTTACCAATTAGCATAGCTGAGGAGGTTTGCTTCTTGTTATCCCCAGTATTGTCTGACCATCAGGTTTGTGTCTCTGAACATTTGGTTTACTCCTTCCCCCTTCTTGTCTCCATTTGCACTGAAAAGGTCCTTGAGCAGATAACCCTAACGAAGCAGATGCTGTCACCACCTTCCACATATCCTTACACTCATCACATTCCACAATATTATTGCTGGAAACAGTGTCCTGGAAATGGTGCTCCTTAACTGCCAACAGAGACCATTCTTTTAACTCTTGGTCTGCTATTCCTTCTGCTGCTTTCTCACACATTTCCACTGATGTATCAATCATGGCAATTTTAATATTCATGTTATAAATCTGAAATGATGTTTCAATAGGGATACTCAAGGCAGGGCTGCAGGAATATTAAAAACTTGAGGAATGCTTAGGGAAAGGAGAATGTGCAAGAACAACGAGAGAGAGAAGTAGAAAGGGAGAATAAAAGGGGCTGGTCACACGTAAGCAAGCTCCAGTCAGGACCAGAGGCTCATAGCTTGTATGCTTAAGGTCAGCAACTGAAAAGACCAGGGTGCCAGCACCTGGAGAAGAGACCACAGGGCTGGGAAGTCTTGATGATAGCAACTGGAGAGACTGGCATGCAAGGTAGTCTAGGTGCCAGCAACTGGTAAAGGAGCTGCAGGTCACAGGGCTACATACAGAGCCAGCAACTGGAGAGACCAAGATGTGCGCAAGAGGTCCAAGGGCCAGTAATTAAATGGACCTCAGTGTGTTTAGTACAAAAATGAAAATGCAAGGAAAAAGCACTCCATGACACTTGGCAATGAACCTTATTCATAGTCCTACAGCAATCGCACCCAGCAACGCTGCCGCAAGAGTCACGGGAATTGCGGTCACAGCCAGAAGGGCAGCAGGAAGGAGGCCACTCTTCTCACCAGGAATGAGAGAACACAGATAAACACCATGCCACTTATCAACAGTCAGAACTGCTATCTACAGAAAATTCTGAATTTGTTGTAAGCAGCACCTAAACCAAGCTCAAAGAAGTCATTCAGAAAGATAAAAAGTGAATTTTCTGCAAGCACCAGGGACTCCAAACAAAACTGAGGAAAAAATGGAATCTTCAACATTTTATCCAATTGCTTGATGGTATCAATCAAGCATTTATTGCTTACAGTCCTCAGGGGAAAAATTATGTTCACTTTTGACTTATAGCTGTAAGCATGAGAGGAATTTTTAAACAAAATTAGAAGATTTGCAGGGAAAAAGGCATTAGTAATGGGGACTGGATTCATCACACAGATTAACATATCCTATACTTTATTCAGAAACCTACAGATGAAAGCTTTTCTAATACTAGAAGAAATTTTACTTTTCTAATAGCACCAGACTCCTTTGTATGAGAATATCCTTGCCTCTTTAGCACAGTTCATGTGTGTAATAGAAATATATACCTATAAGTATACATCTGTAACTCATGCTTTTAGGTTGTATTATTATGATGGAAGAGATCAGCTAATGATAAAGCAGAGTCCAAAGATACTTTACCTTGGATGGAATGACTTTTTTTTTTTTAGAAGATACCTACAGCCCTATGCTACAGCTACAGATTTCTATACTTACCACACTTATGGAAATCACTGTGAAATGCAGAGCAACCGTGAAACACACTTCAAGCTCTGAAGACTTTCCAAGTTCTCCCCAAGTTTTAAGACACATTCAAAGAACTGTCTTACATCTTGAGTAGTTGTGCCTCCTTTTAAAAGCATTGCTCTCAAATCATTCAACAGCTAATGATTACTAATTGGAGAAGAGTTTGCAATCTATGTATGGAATACTGACTGAAGTGGAAATTAAGAAGTTAACCGATTTTCAGTCACAGAGAATAACAGTAATCTTTCACCAGCACATAATAGAAGAGCTCTTCAGCATATTTGCATTTAATACCAGCAATAAGGCATGCTACTACCTTCAATATCACAGGAGTATAAAAAAATAAAAATAAAAACAGCTGTCATAATGTCTCTCTTCTCTATGGATTTGTGAAGTTCGTGTATACTGCAAGTTACATAATCAACGCTTCTGCTCATAAAATGATCTTCATTGCAATTCTTCCAAATACAAAATCCTGCAGCTTTTCGGTTTACATTTTCACTGCCCTTTGTAGCTTTGAAACTGTTGAGAACTAACAACTTGCATGTTTATCAGAAACACAAATCATAGTCAAAAAGATCCTAGTAGCGTCTAGCAACCAAATGCGTGAAAAAGCAAAATCTCATTCCCTGTCAGCAATGGGAAAGTACTAGAGTCCTTCAAAAAACTGTGGCTGTAACAGTATTAAGTAAAGCTTAGAAATACTTTGAGTAGCAAAGACAGGTTGAGAAGTTTACGTTTTCCACAGCCCCATTTTCTTCCCTATTTCTACATATTCAGTTGCGCTGATGCTGCTACTCGTGATGCTTCAGGACAACCTATACTACAGATAATAAAAGAGCTGCCATATTTCCATATATTTTTTTTTTTAATAAGGTAATATCACTTACTTCAACAATCTTGTCAGTGGGTCTCTTCAGACAGATGTGCAGCATCCACTGGAAGAGCAGGAGCTCCTTACTGGTCTTTGCTCCTAGGAGGGAGAATACTCATTAAGCTGCAAGTGCTAGTTTTACTGCAATAGCAATGACTTACACCAACAATAACACTGGACAGTCTCCTATGTCCCTGATTACTAAGATCAGAAGATCTCCTGGCAGGTTTTGAAGTTCAATCTGCTTTGAAACAAAAGCTTCCTTTTTTTAGTGCCCGGTATCAGTTCATACAGGCAAAGAGTAGCAATCACCCAATTCTAACAACCATCATGTGTGTTTTCACCGTTCTTCCTTGTCTTTTTTTTCCTTTCCTCCTCTTAAGAGTCACCAGAAGGCTCTACAGTTTCTCGTAAGTCCCCATAGTCAGGCTTAGCAAAGCAAGAACTGAGGAATTACGAGAGCTGAATGGCACCTATTCAGCCTTCTGCTCCTTTTACTCTTTCTTTACTGTCTTCAGCCTTCCCTCCTGACCTCTGTTAAATCAGGGGGTGGGGAGTGCTGACCTCCCCCCTGTGCCCACTTGTTGATTATTAGTCATCAACAAAGAGAAGAAAGGCTCGGCACCAAACTAAGAGCTTAATTATTGCATTGATTAGGATCAGGAGCAACCACAAACACTCTGACAAAGTCACATATCTCCTACCCACTGATATGTTGTCTCATGGTTGCAGCAAATGAAACTGAGCAAGCTCAGCACATACAGGATTTAAGAAGCCACTTCCCCTGTCTGCAACGCACAGCCAAAAGTCAACAGATCCAGGTGATGGCTCAGAAGGTCACAGTAAGGAGCCCAGTTCATCCTTTAGGGGCAAAAGGCCTGGCAAGAAGGACTGCCTGAGGAACACACACCTGGCCAGGCACCATCACATCTCCACTCCATCAGACATAACTAAGCAAGCACGACAGGAGCTTTTTGATCATTTTTACTCACCAAAAACAAACAAAAAAAAAAAGGCAAGCAAAAGCACTGGGAAACTGTTTTGTGTAATTTTTAAAAACAGATGTTAAAATACTCTACTATTGTTCTCTGAAAAGCAGATTCATTACCCAGTGTGCAATGCACCAATTCTCACACACTGGAGAGAGACTGCTTTTTACTTAGGCCTGGGTGCTTGGTGGATTTCCACAAACCAAGCACACCCCAGGTCAGTTTCCTCCTTATATTTATGCACAAATGTTACAAGGTAGTACACTCCTATTTACAATGATTGGTAATTTGAACATAACATCTGCTGTGCCATTCTCTTCAATCACTGGGCCTCCATAGAGCAAGGGTCTTCACCGGGGCAACGGTCTCCTTAACCTGTGTTTTTGAATATTATAATGAAGACAGTTCAGTTAAGGACACCTGTACTTTCGTTTTCATTGCCAAATTGGCATTCTTTATTCTGACATCTTGATCAGATGTTCACTTAAGGTCTTCGTATCCCGGGAAGACCAAATAATTAGGTTACAGATGTTCCTTCTAACAATTCCCTTTGATCCTTGCTTAGCAACTATCTACAACATTCTTAACTATTGTTATATAGCCATTGTACATAAAACCTGATTAACTACAGAGCCACGGTTAACTCTAAGTTCGATGATAGGTATCACTACCAAAACACGTTTGCCGCAAAAGCACACAGGACAATACCTTGCTGGCTTTTTAAAAGCCAGTGTTTGAAGGACAGCCTCTTACGGGTCAGAGTATTTTACTGATCTACAACTATTTTTGTTGAAGAGGGGTAGGAAGGAGGAGGAGCAATAAAGCATTTCTTCTTTAAGTAGAAAACAAAACCGAAATGACAAAATAAGAAGTTCTTCTAAATACCTGGCAGACCATCAAACTGGAGAAACAGTTTTAGCTACTATTAAGGAGGAAACAAAACCACCCCATAACAGACATGACACGAAGCTGTGCATTTTGCTGTGTTTTCCATCAGACTATTTCCTGAGGAAAATAAAAAAATACTGCTTAAGCTTGAACCACAAAGAAGGCTTCATCCTTTAACTTTGAGGTGCCGCTGACTGCAGCGAGCCACACGAAGACAGCGCGCTAAGGGCTCCTGATAAACGCCTTTCAGAACTCACTCAGCACGGTGGCTTAGGCTTTGCTTTAAGACCCAGGGGCATTTTTATACCGGCACAGCCACCTGGAGTAAAGGACTGAGTTTTGTGGATGGTAACAGAAAAGTAATCATTAACACAAGCCTGTTTTCTCTGCCAGGAACATCTATCTAAATATTTTGGGACACTGGCTGGTTAGCTCAAGGAAATCAGGTGATAAGAGCCCGGTTAAGGAGTTTGTGATGTTAGTGACAAGTTTTACTCCCATCTCATTCTCATACGCGCGAGACAGAAAATATTTACTAGGAGTCAGGATGAGCTGGGTTTGTTTTGTTCTATTTTTAAGTTGTCCCAGGGGGCTAGTTAAGAGCAGGGGAAGGCCTGACATTACCACAGAGCTCCTAGAAAGAGTTGAATCAACCTCCCAACATCTTCCAGGAAAACAACCTCTGGCATTCCTATGGGCTTCTGAAGCACAGCCAGCGCTGGGAAAACCTTGCTCACGTTCTAGCGGATGCCTCTAGTTTTCAGCGCTACCAAGAGCACGTGAAGCATATTCTAAGCATATTTCACCAAAAACACGCAAAGAAAGTTGATAAAGACGCGTCGACGGGGCACTTGCCTTTTTCCTCACATCTCCATCTGCCTTTGCAGATGGAATAAGCCAGGCGATTCTTTTCAACGGCACCACCCACGCAACCCAAAGCAGAAATAGCAGCCTATACCTCTTTAAAACCTCTTTTTTTTTTTCCCTTTAGTTATATAAACAGTCCTGTCACTTCAACCACAACGCCCGACTGCAGATGTCCCTCTCACACAAGGCCGGGCTTCTCCACACGATGCTCACCCCAAGGGCTGAAGCAGAAATGATGAGGCAAACCCCGGGCTCCAACCTCGGAGCTAAAACACGGGGGTGAGGGGAACCCGAAACACCTGGTCGTGTGTGTGTGTGTCCCCTCCGCCCCGCACCACGGAAGCTCTCAGCTCTTCTCCTCCAGCCCCGCTTCCCCGCACGGCCGGGCTCTGTGTAAATAAACCCCCGCAGCAGAGAACACCGGGGGTGAGGGGGGAGCAGTTCTGGAGGCGAAAAGCGCGCCCGCCCGCCCGCCGACCTCATTGTGCTGCTGGGCTCAGCCACTCGCGGGACACTTAATTGATGTTAATTGGCTCCCGCGAGACGAAGGGCTAACTACCTGCCGGCCGCCACGCAGCCCTGACCAGCTCCACACCAGGCCTTTACCCCGCCGGGACGGGACCACCGGCCGCCCCGGCACCGAGGGGGCCCTCACCCGCCCGCCCCGCGGCCTCCCCCGCCACCCCGGGGAGGAGCCGTCCCGGCCTCACTGGCCCATCCCGAGGAGACGGCTCCGCCGCCCGCCCCGAGCCCGGCCGGAGGAGCGGCGCGGCCCTGACCGGCGGCTCCCCCCCACTTCCCCGGGGTCCCCCCACACCCGCCCCGCTCCCTTCCTTCCCCTCCCGGTTGCCGCCCGTCCTCACCCAACCCGGCGCGGCCGGTGGCTCGGCGGGCAGAGGCGGAGCCTGCGGCTGTTGGCTCCGGGAAGAGGCGGAAGGAGTCCCGCGATCACCGGCGTTGCCGCTACCGCCGGCGGCGAAGGGCGGCGGGGCCAGAGCTCAGGCCCGCCCCGGGGCGGGACCCTCGGCGGGGCGGGGCGGGGAGGAGAGGCCCGGTCACCGCCGCTCTGCCCAGCGACGGGGGCCTGAGGGGGGCCTGAGGCGGGCCTGAGGCGGCCGGGCCGCGGCGGCCCAGCCCGGGAGGCGGTTCGGGAGGTACCGCCGAGGAGGAGGGGTTCGGCGGGGGCGCTGGCAGGGAAGCGGCGCGGCCAAATTTCGCTTTCGGCTTCTCAGAGCCCTGCGGATTGAGCCCCTCCTCCCTCCCTGCCTCCCTCCCTGCCTGCTTCCCTCCCTGCCTCCCTTCCTCCCTCCTGCATCCCTTCCTCCCTGCTTCCCTCCCTCCCTTCCTCCCTCCCCGCCTTCTCAGGTCCCCGGAGAACTCCCACAGCTCCCCCGCTTCAGGCACAGCACCGTTTTCTTAAGAAAAATACAGTGGTTCTTTCACACACACACACAAGCACACACACACCGCCTCACAAGCCGAGGACGAGCTTCGAGGGGAGCCCGCAGTTAAGAGGAACCGATAAATGTAAAGGCTCTGTAGTAAAAACTAGGTAGATGGGGGGGAGGGGGGGAAGAAGAAAAAAAAAAGGGAAAAAAAAGAAAAAGGTAGATGTTTAACATGCAAAGAAATTATATGTAAGCAGTACAGTACTTACAGTTTAATTTGGCATCACAAAATTACCAAAAGCCTACGATTTCACTGAATTTTCACTGAATTTCACTGAATTTTAGAGTTGGAAGGGACCATAGAGATCATCTAGTCCAACTCCCCTGCTGAAGCAGGACCACCCGGAGCTTGTCAGAGCGTGTTCCTCAGGACTGCATCCAGGCGGGGCTTGAAAATCTCCAAAGAAGGGGACTCCACACCCTCCCTGGGCAGCCTGTTCCAGGGCTCCGTCACCCTCACCGTGAAAAAGTTCTTCCTCATTTTAAGTGGAACCCTTTATGTTCCAACTTGTGCCCATTGCCCCTTGTCCTCTCACTGGCAACTACTGAAAAGAGTCTGGTTCCCTCCTCCCTCAGCCGGCCCTTGAGATACTTGTCAGCATTAATAAGGTCTCCCCTCAGCCTTCTCGATTTGTTTGAAAGATTTACGTTTTAAACTGGCGACAAGCCTACACTGAATAGGTCTTACCGTAAGTTATGTATCCCGAGCAGCAGTTAGGGGAACAAAGCTCGTTACAGAGCAGTGCAGTCAGGGGAAGTAATTTTTATTAAGTGCTATCAATGGGCTGACACTCCCGCAAGTCTCGGGGTGCGTGTCTCCGAGCAGACTGGTGTGACGTGTAGGATGGGGGGACTGGCATGTGACAAACAGACATGGCAGCTGCTGAGTCCTCTCTGTGTGTCCCCA